TGTGTGTGTGTGTGTGTGTGTGTGTGTGTGTGGAAGCAGTGTGTTTTAACATGGTTTTTACACTGCATTATGCTCATACTGCTCACTCACTGCAAGTCTCTCCTTCTCCTCTCACTTTCTCTCTTCAGCAAGTACAGACGTGTGTGTGGGACGTGTCGAGCCCGTTTAAGATAGTCCTTGTGAATGCCAGTAAGGTGAATGCAGAGGAGACGGCCAAGGTAAACCCCGCTCTGTCCACCTCCATGAAAGAGTCACTTATGTTCCTGTTAATGTCACTACAATTTAAGCATTAGCCCTTATCTCCAGACACTCTGGAATTCCAAGTTGACATTTTGGTAATAATCCTGAGAAATTTGCATTCTTCCAGTTAAATGTCCATCGCTAACTAGAAACATCACTCACTGTGAACTTTTCCGTTGTATTCTCACATGAGCTCACTTTTTTTTTCTCACATACTCTAAAATGTGCGTGTGTGTGTATGAATGACTGGATTCTTGAATTGGTCTAGTAGCGCCCCTGCTGGCTTCTGTGTCACAGCAACTGTGGCTACAATGTAATCCTAAGGGGCAACTGACACCCAAGTGCATTTCTAAATAAAAGCTTCTGTCTGGAAAAAGCTGAAACAGGATAGTTGATAGTGTAAATAAATATCAATGCTATACTAATATACTACAATACTGAATATCAATAACATCACAAAAAAAAAACAATGATGTTATACCCTCGCTGCCCTTCCACACACACCCACCCCTCCTCTTCACTCAGGTCCAGGTGAGGGCGGGGCTTTTCCACGGCACAGAGCTCCTGTGCAAGCCGGCGGTGAGCGGTGAGAGCAGCGGGCGCTCGGACCACATGTGGAAAGACAGCACCCTGGAGTTTGACATCTCCGTCTGCGATCTGCCGCGCATGACCCGCCTCTGCTTCGCCATCTATGCCGTCATGGACAAGGTCAAGAAGCAGAAGTCCACCAAAAACCCTCACATAAACAAATACCAGACCATCCGCAAGGCAGGGAAGGTGGTAAGAAACAGGCACACGCTCCAACCGACACTGTGTCAAATAGTTTCCACAAATACACCATCTTCACAGGATCATTAATTCATGATATATATAAATATATGTATGTATAATACCACTGTTTTCTCTGTCTGGCATTCAGCACTACCCTATAGCTTGGGTCAATACCATGGTGTTTGACTACAAAGGCCAACTGAAGACCGGAGATATCAACCTGCACTGCTGGTCTTCCTTTCCTGGTATAAACACGCACACGCATGCACTTTATGTCATTTTATGTCCACAAATATAATAAAACCTAAATCAGTTTACGCAGTGATTTGCACCCTGCTGTAAAATCACAAACAAACAAGTGTGTGTCTTGTTTGTCTTTGCCCAGATGAACTTGAAGAAATGCTGAACCCCATAGGAACCATTCAGACCAACCCGTACACTGAGAACGCCACAGCACTGTACATCCACTTCCCAGAGTACTCGTCGCACCCTGTTATCTTCCCTCCCTTCGACAAGGTCAGACAGCCGTCGGTCACAGAGCTTAGACATTTTTCCAAGTGTTTTGACCAATGAAAACTCCCAGTAAGCTTGAACATTAATACACGTGACCAAGTTCCTGCTATGCGATTGTACCATACTGACCTTAAACAAGTGGATGGGATGTTTGGGACTTGACTGCAGTTGAAATTGTCATCACGGTGGCGTAGGGCTCCTCATAATGGTACTTAGTGATTATGATAAAGTGGTGGCTGTTTGCATGAGAGGATCAGGACGTGCTCGGCCTACTTAATGCACTCAAGCTGGCAGTGTTTTATCTCTGTGTGTGTGTGTGTGTGTGTACTGATACAATGCTCACTTGCCTTTTCACAGATACTGGAAAAAGCTGCAGAGATCGCTGGATCAAGTGACTGTGCACCCATGGTGAGTGAAGGGAATAATTGTGTTGGCGTGCCTGAACGTCTTCACGCATTGAGAGCACATACAAGTGCAAACCAGGTGATAACATGTTGGAATATTTGTGACAAGTTGTCCTGTGACAAATAAGCCTGCTTCATCATCAAACCTTCCCTGCTCACACTCTGAACAGACACACTCACGCGAGTATAACCCCTCAAACAGACACACACTGAGTTTCTTGTGTAGATTTTTAGCAGGGTGTGGTAATAACAAAAAAAAGTTCAGTACTACTCAAATCTGGAGCCTCTAATCAGATTACTTGTATGTTTTTCTGTCTCACCGCCCCTCAACCTTAAAAAAAAACATACTCCTGGGTGTGTTGCAGCCTGTTACGTAATCCTGTTAAATGGAGGACAAGCCTGAACTCAGCCCTTGTGAGGCGTATATGTGAGAAACTAGGATTATCACTGACTTCAAGTTAGTATACGTGTTTTGTTACTGTATCAACAGATTCACACAGCTCTGCTAATATTTTTCCTCTCTAAAGACATTTTTAATAAGGACATGTGAGTTTATATTCATATTATTTGGCTCATGTCCATTCTAATTAATAAACATGAGACTTGTTTTAAACAGAGACATCCCAGTGTGAGTCCTGTTGGTTAAAGATTGTGTAGAATTTAATTTAAGATTCATTTGATTAGAAATGTCAGGACACTTTGATACACTCCTGCCATCTTGTGGTTCCTCTCAGTCACTGCTGCTGCTCATCTTTGTCCTAGTCACCTCTCACGCTCTGTGTCCTCCTCCAATTTGTCATCATCTTCCCTCCTTTCACCTCTTCTCTCCTTCACATCTTCGTCATCCTGTCCTTCTCAAACCCCACAACCAATCACTCTTCCATCATCCCTCTGTCTCAGGGTCGTGGGGGAAAGAAGTTCCACATAGAACTGAAGGAGATCATGGAGCGTGACCCGCTCTCCCAGCTGTGTGAGAACGAGAAGGATTTAATCTGGACACTACGCCATGACTGCCATGAAAATTTCCCTCAGTCACTGCCCAAGCTGCTACTCTCTGTCAAGTGGAGCAAACACGAGGACATGGCCCAGGTTAGCCAGTGTGTTTACTGTTTGTCCACTTAAGTGAAGCAAATTCAGCTCTTTCCCGTCCAAGTGTATTTCATATATTAGTCCCTTAAGATTTGTTGTTATCTTTATCTGAGGCCATTATTGACAAAGTTCATCTTCCTCTTCAAGTTAAAATGATTGTACAGGAAAAGTACTTGGGAAGACAGAAGAG